TTCCCTCGATTTCCCACCTCTTTATATGTCCTCATGGTAAGGCGTTAGCCAATATGCCTAAATACCTTAAACAATGTTAGGGAACTTCTCCTTCTATCGTAATCCCAATGACTTACTTCTAGTCAGTCTTGCATGTTCAATGTTGGGAGGCGTTTATTCTTAGGTTTGAAAGAAGATTAGAGAGTTCTTCTTATTATACAGGCTCAATGGGTTGGCTAGCCGTTCTGGTGTCTTGTTCATGCCTGACCGTGGGTTTTTCCTACGACGACGAGGTTACTTGTGGAAGCGTCCTGAAACTTATGAACGTAAATGAAGGCTCACGTCTCCATTCCCATGAAGTTAAATATGGAAGTGGTAGTGGGCAACAATCGGTTACTGCCGTACAGGCCTCTGACGATGTTAATTCGCACTGGCAGATCTTCCCAGGTGAATTTTCTCGTTTAAAGGGAACAAACTGAAGGAAGCTTTGATTTCAGCACTGAAAGAAACTTGTAAACGAGGGGAGCCTTTGAAATGCGGTGAAAAACTTCGTCTAAAGCATCTCACTACTGGATGCTTCCTTCATACCCACCATTTTATAGCACCTTTGTCAAAACATCATCAGGTAACTTTGATATGACTTCATTACTTTATGTACGAGCGCAGAGGATGTAAGATTTGCAATAAATCCTGGTAAAACGAAAAAAAAAGCTTAAACAAATGTTCATTCATTCCATATTTTCAAGTAAATGCTTTTTCTTTATCTTTTTATAAGGGTTCTGACAGACTTTACTTCATACGATTCAAGAGTTGCTGATTTGCGAATATCTTAAAGTCAGTTAGAGATTTTTTTGGAAGAGGCTTAGTTTTGATTTTCAATAATCAACTTTTATAGACACGATTTCACCTGCCGTCAATCTCAAACAATTGCGATATTTTTTATTCCAAATATCTCGAATCTCGATTCTTCTAGGAAGTTTCTTGCTTTGGTGATGACGCCCAAAGTGATACTGGCGATAATTGGCAACTAGTCTGTGACACCGAGGAATGGCTCGAAAATGAGGTTTCCAGCGAGCCATACCTACTTTTCCGCATCGCCTAATCATTCTATTTTAGCCAGTAAAGTTCAAACACGTTGACACAGGCGTGTACTTAGCACTGTCGGGACAGCAATTTGGCAGGCCTATTCATGGACAAAGAGAGGTCAGTAGGTTTTCTTGTAATTTCAAAAGTCAAAAAGCACTCAGCTTTAGGTTGTTGGAACAGATGGAATAACAAGCTATGGGAAATGGAAGGCTGCCGAAGGGGTTTTTATGAAGCGAACAAAAGATTAAATTGTTGAATGAATATCTCAGGCCGCTGATTGTTGCATTTCTTGCCCAAAGATTGATCAAGCCTTTTTATAGGTCATTCAAGTGTACATCTATATTTGCTTTCTCACTGCTGTTAATTATATTTCTGTGATATTACATCTTCACTAAATGCGGGGAATATTTCTTATTCTTATTGTTGACGATATCCCAATTTGATAGCAGATATTAAATTTATGTTTTTTGCTTATTATTGTTTTTTTATGTAATAAAAATTTCAACTTATTTCAAAGACTTGATTCGTGATGCTTAAATACAATTCAATTGCTACAATGCGATTGACATCATTCAATAGCATAATGCAGAGCTTTTATTCGTGCTGTGAAGGATAACTCTGTAACTACGATACTCTCTCAGCTCATCACCCTGAGTCCTTTTCGCATTGCGCCGCAACCGCATACAATCCTTTTGGGAAGAACTTGACTTTACAGAAGAACATCCCTCGCGCGTTGAGTTATTAATCAGACTTTACTCTTTCGCAGTTTCGGTCTAGATTATAAGTGATCGAAAAGCACTTTCCCAGTATTAGGACATAACGTGCTTGTCTCCTATCTAAACAAGAATCGTTTGAGCGCACTCAAATTGGCAATGTTATTTAGAATTATCAATTTGCTAAAAGGTAGAAGATCACATCTGAAGTTATTCAAGTCTGCTCAAACCAACGTTGAATTCAGCAAGCGTGTATGCTCTTCATGTCTCTAATTCATTTTAAAGAAAAAGCATTACTTAACAGTAAGGTATTAATTTAAAGAAGAAATTTCTGACCACATATTGTTGTAGACATGAGCAAGTAAGCAATGTTCTTAGGAAAACCACGCATAACATCATTTCGGACATTTACCATCGATATTAGTATATTCTAATTTCATTTGTGGACTGATTCACTTGAGTGCTTTCTTATTTCAAGCTATTATATTATTGTATGTGCCCAAGACCCTTTTTCCCACAACATCTCATTAGTCCCCGAAGGGCCCTTTGTGGCATTGAGTATTATCCTCGATCGTTAGGAGGATCTCTCACCAGAAACGGTAATCGAGAAAAGATGATCTGATACAATGCGCATATGAGTGCCATAGGACATCGCCATTGGGATTATTGCCTTTAGGGTTTGCTAGAGGGAAAACGCAACTATAGTGATTGCAGGCGTTATTGCCATAGGGAAAATTTTGATCCATAACCAATAAATCATCGATTTCGGCGAATCAAAGAGATTTGGCTTCAAGTGGATTGCGATTGTACCTAAGGTGGATAGCACTGACGACTAAGTCACGAAATCCCTTAAATCTACCGTATTTCGGAACTTGCCCAGTGTGTTTCGTGAATGATGATGGACGACGGGTGAAAGGGTGTTCGTACTAACAAGGTCATGCAATGTGTGGGTGCCAGCCGGTGTCCAGCTGACCTCCACACCACACCGGGCCCAGCGACCATTCAATAGCTCTCTCTCCATCGTACCTTACCGCACATGCACACCCGTAAATCCACACGCACACACATGCATACACCAACTAGCACAACACTTCTGGTTGAGGGTCATTCAAGGATGAGTTTAGAGTTGTATAAAAGGAATAG